AGAGATCTGCCTTGGCCAGAGCCTGCCTGCTGTCCCCACCACCCCTGGGCGCTGGTCCGGTGGACGGTGCTGTGAGGAGCCTGGCTGTTCTGTGCCACTGGGATCTGGGGACGGAGGGAATGTGCTGCTCAGCCCTGGGCTGCAGGCAGGGACATGAGCTGCATGCTGTGCCCCCCCCGGATGCAGGTTAACACCACGCTGGACATGATCCCTGCCAAGGTGCAAGAGCAGTCCCAGGACGTGGTGACAAGTAAGCAGGGCTTTGTGCCCCTTGTGCTGAATTCTCCCTCTTCCAGGGCTCCTTCCTCCCTTCTCACCCCATCCCTGCCTGGAGACCTCTCCTGCTGCCACCCTGCTGCCTGCAGCCCTGGCTGTCCCCAAGTGCCATCATGCTCTTGCATTCCATCCTTGGCCACAGCTGCCCCCTTCCCATCCTCTCTGGGTCCCCCCTGCCCCAGGCTCGCCTGCCCTGGACAAGCAGGACCCGGGCAGCAGCTTGAAGTGCCAACCTGTCCCCGTCCCCTGCAGAGACGCAGAACCAGCTGGGCCTCATCAGCCAGAAGATCAGGAGCTTGCAGGAGAAGTTGCCGCTCCTGGATGTGGAGGAGAGAGTCAGGGCCTTCGTGGGCAATGCTGAATCGGTGCTGGAGGAGCACAGGGAGCCGATCATCGTCTCGGATAGGCTCAGGTAGGCGAGGGGCTGCTGCATCGCCTGACTCCCTTGTCTGGAGAGGCTCAGGCTCTCGATCCTCCAGTTGCTGGAGGTGGGGGCTTTCTTGGTGGTGGGGCTGTGGGTGCAGGGTAGCCAGAGCTGTGCCTTGCAGCGACCCGTGCCCCTTCCCTGCCAGGGTGCCTAAGGGCTTTTTCTTTCCCACGAAGGCAGCTGGTGGGATGCTGGGCACTGCTCAGGGTGCCAGGTCCTGCTGTCTGACTCCTGCCCTTCCTCTCGCCCCAGGTGGAGCGTGTGTACTGTCCTGTGCTGCATGGTGCTGCTGGTCATCCTCTGCAACGCTGTCGGGCTGCTGCTGGGGCCCCTGGGGCTGAAGGAAAGCGTGCTGCCCACGCAGCGCAGCAGCCTCTCCAACGCCGGCGGGAACTTCTTCATGGCGTGAGGCTCCCTCGGCTGCCAAGGACGCGTGTGGGAGCCGTGGGATGGGTGGGCAGGGTGGCCTGGGGATGCTCAAGCTCCTAAATCATGAAAATACTGTGGCTTAATGGCCTGCTCCACGGCAACTCGCCATGCAGGTGGTAAACGCAAGGGTAAAACATGGTGCTGGTGGAAAGTGTTCGAGCGGAGCCCGTTCACCCCTTGCCAGTGGGGGCCTGGCAGCGTGTGCGTGGTCCTGTGGCTCTGCGGGCGGGTGGTGGCTTGGCAAGCTGGGGGAAGCCATGCCGGGGTCTGAGCCCCACAGTACAGCCTGGCCGGGCTCCACGGTCTGAAGGCAGGGCAGAGATGTGCTTGTGGGGATGGTGGTGCTTCCTGGCACTGCCCAGGGGGCAAGGGGTGTGTAGGCTTCAGGCTTTCCGAGCTGGAAGCAATGCTAGCATCGATGCCAGGGCACAGGGCCCTGGGTGCTGATGGCACCTCTGTTCTGGCAGAGGTGTTGGCTTCAGCTTCATCTTCTCCTGGCTGCTGATGCTGCTAGTGCTGATCACCTTCGTGCTTGGGGGGAACATCTACATGCTCGTCTGTGAGTCCTGGCGCAGCCAGCAGCTCTTCCAGGTGAGCTCCCCATGGGGAGACACCCCTGCCCGGAGCCACTGCTGCCTTTCCAAGGGCTGCTGGTGGAGAAGAGGCAGCACTGGCCAGTTTGGAATGCTCTTCCCAGGTGTCCTGCCCTGCACCATATCTAATTTCTCCATCTCTTCCCTTGCTCTCAGCTCCTGGACACGCCTGGCCTGATCCCTGGCTTTAACCTGTCGGAGCTGCTGGGTCAGGAGGGTGGCACAGCAAACTTCTCAGAGATATACAGGTGGGTCCCAGTTCCAGCACCACATCTTTGGGGAAAGGTATGGCTGCTTGGCTCCCTTGGATGCTCCCCAGGATGGGGGCAGCTTGCCCTACTTGCCCTGGCTGCAGGCAGACACTGATGCCAGGGAAGGAGAGAGGTGTGACTTGCCTGCGTGGGTGAGGACACGGTCCTGGGAGGGGGTGGCCCTCACCTGCCCCTTTTCAGCCCCGTGCCCCCCTCCTGCAGGCAGTGCCAGCGAGATGCTGCCCTGTGGCAAACGCTGCACCTGGACCAGAGCGTGTCCCTGGATGAACTCTTGAACATCAGCCAGGTGAGCGCAGGGGTGCCAGGGTCCAGGAGGGCAGAGCTGGGGGTGCAGGGCTGGCGCTGGGGGGGACAGCGAGGGGCCGGCACTGTGCCCCATCGTGGCTCCCCTTGCCTCGGCAGTACACAGGAGAGATATCCACGGCCTTCGAGAAGATGAACATCACCCTGAGCCCCATCTCGCTGCTCAGCCAGAGCCAGAGAGACTTGCTGCTGAATGCCAGCCAGGCCGGGCAGCCCCCCAACTTCACCCTCACCCTGGAGCAGGTGGGCTGGGGGCAGCCTGGTGTTGGGATGGGGGGGTCTGGATGCATGTTGAGGGGGTCCATTGCTCCCTCCCCTTTGCTGCTGTGGGAGTCCCCACTGCAGGCTCCCAGGGTGTCCCCTGCCATCCATGTCACCCCTTGGGGCAACTCCCCCACCTGGGAGGCCCTGGCTCTACTCTGCCCTGCAGGGATGGGATACGTCCCCCCTGTTAGCCCCAGTCTCATGGCTTTGTCTCTGCCTTTTCCAGCTGGATCAGAACATGACCCAGGGAAGCCTCCTGGATCTGGCTGCAGAGCTGGAGCACCTGGCAGACAAAGCGGTGAGAGACCATGGCACCCCGGGGCCATGGCCACGCTGTCCCCAAAGCCACTGGCTGCAGGGGCTCCTCCACAGACCTTCCTGGGTGCTGAAGGGAGGCGAGGCCCTTCACCCTCGCCCAGCTCTTTTCTCCAGCCCGGCCCCCCATCAGATGGCTGTGGTGGGGCGGGGACCCCATGCCGGGGGGCACTGCTGACTGCAGCTCCTCCAGGGTGCGGATGTGCAAAAGGACCTGGAGGCTGGTGCTCGCAAGCTCAGGATGCTGGACAAGGAGATGCAGATGAGCTTCTCTGGGCTGCTGGTGAGCGATGCCAGGGTGGGGAAGGTCCTGAGGGTGCTGGCTTGGGCTCCTCCAGAGCTTGGAACCTGCTGGTGAGGTCTTGGCCGAGCCGTGGGGTCCACGCCTCCGACCCCTCCTCTCTCCATCCCCAGCAAAGCCTGAAGGAGAACATCCACTTGGCGCAGAGCGGGACTGCCCAGCTTGAGGTAAGTGGCACAAGGGGGCCTCCTGAGCGCACCCCAGTCTGGGGCACCCTGCAAAGCGCCCTTGAGGTCCCATGGTGGAGATGGTGGGAGCTAACCTGCAGCCTAGGGGGCTGGTGGCTGCTGCAGGAATCCCCAAGCATGCACTGTAGGGGCTGCTCATGGGGCAGAGGGAGGGGGCCCATGCCAGGGGCCCTGCCAAGCACAGGCTCCCTCCACCCAAGGTACTTGGGCACTACCAGCGTGTGACTGCTAGGGACACCACCGCTCAGAGACGCTGCGCCCCAGGGATTGCTGCCGGGCAGGGTGGGGGAGATGTGGGGACCCCACTTGCCCCATCACACTGCTGAGAGCATCTTTCACCCCAGGCACAGGCAAAAGCTGCGCTGGATAAAGCCAGTGAAACCCAGGAGTTCCTGGAGAGGGAGACCGCAAACATCATCAAGAACGTGAGCTCGCCTTACCCTGCTGCCAGGCCACCTGGTGGGGATGTGACCCGGACCCCCACACCAAGACCTCCCTCTGCAGAGGGATCCAAGCAATGTCTGGCTGCTCTTCCTGCCTTCTCTCCTTCCCCAGGGGTCCCCTGCACCCCTGGGTGCCCCCTCCCCTTATAGCACCCCAGGCAAAGGGCTGGGGCGGGGCGAGCAGCCCCATTGCTGCTGGGTTGAGGTGGTCTGACAGCCCTGATCCTGACACAGAGGGGACATGGGACATGGAGTGGGCTGGGGGTGCAGCATCTCCACTCTCTGCTTGCCCCCACCAGGAGACATGGGCCTTCCTGGAGGAGCTGTTGGACTTCTTTGAGACCTACGTCTCCTGGGCCAAGAGCAAGGTGAGTTGAACCTTCCTTGGTCGGGTGGAGGGAAGGGGAGGACAGGCTGCAGGGTTTTGGGGACACTGACATGTCCTGCCCCCACCGTGTCCCCAGCTGACGGGAGACGTGGCACGTTGCAAACCCATAGCTCAGACTGTGGATAATGTGGGGGTCATCACCTGCAACTACATCCTGGACTCTCTGGTGAGTGGGGCAGCAGTGTGTGGGGTGACACATGTGTGTGGGGTGGCAATGAGGTCCCCTTGTCCCCCTCATGCACAGGATGAGGGGTACCCATCCCTGTTCCGAGCAAGCAGGGACCAGCATCTCCCCGGCAGATTGCTGCGGCTAAGAGCAAAGGCCAGGCTGCAAGAAGGGGTGGGTGGTCTTTGGGGGTGCCTGGGAGCAGAAGAGGTGCTCTCACTTGCTGTCTGGGCTCTGATGGCTCTCCCCTACACCCAGAACGCCTTCTGGTTCAGCCTGGGCTGGTGTACCTTCTTCCTGCTGCCCAGCATCATCCTGGCCGTCAGACTTGCCAAGTTTTACCGCCGCATGGACATTGCTGATGTCTACAGGTGAGGAGCCGCCTGCCCCCTGCGACCACCCTGGGTCTGGGGTCTCCCATGCACACTGCAAACTGCACCTTCATGTCCCCTGCAGCAGCCCGTGGGGCTGATCCTAAAGTAACGTGGGCTGGGGAGGGACCAGAGAGCTGGCTTGGGACCTTCAGCCTCCAAGAATGGAGATGTTTTGGAGAAGAGCCTGGCTCTGTCTGCTCTGCAACCCCCCTTTGGGCAGCTGAAGGTGCCTGCAACCACCCTTGGAGGAAGGAGCCTGGCTTGCACAGCACGGGCTGCAGCCCCCAGCCTGGCTCGGGGGTCTGCCACTGGACTTGCTCTGGCTTTGCACCATTTTTTGTGCTGGGGCCCCAAACGAGGAGCACAGCTGGATGCTGCGCAGAAGCAGCGTGCTGCAGGGTTGGCGTCACTGCCACGAGGGTGCAGTGCTCGCTCATGCACCCGTGGCCACCGGTGCCCCGGGGCTGCCCCCCAGCCCTCTGGGACCCTTTCCCCGTCTCTCTGGGGCGCTCTGACCAGCAGCCCCACCTCCAGCACAGCCACCGAGGATAGTGAGCACTTTCCAGCTGGATTTCCAGCTGCTGAGGGCTACGGCTTTGGCACACGCAGCCCTCGCACCCCCCCGCCTGCCACCCCTCTGCCTCAGGGCTGCAGCCACCTGGGGAGCTGGGGTTTGCAGCACCCCCGTTCCCTGTGTGGCCCCAGCCAGCCTTCCTCCCCTTGCCTGCCCCACTCCTCCTCGCTTTCCCAGGATGGGTGCTGGGGTTGTACATGGTGTGTGCAGGATGTGGTGCTGAGCCGGGCTGTGCCCTGCCTGTAGCGTGCCTGGGGTCCCTGGCGCGTTTCACTTCCCCCTGCAGCCAGCAGCTGAGCTGGCTGGAGACATGGGCTCAGCTGCCAGGGAAACTTGGGGGAACTGAAATCGTGGCACGGGGGAGCTCTGTGCCACTGAGCCGGCGAGCATGGGGCCCCGCTCTGCCTGCCCGGGAAGGAGCAGTGACGCTCTGG